GTTTGTTTTTAAAATAAAAAAGTTCTATTTTTGGCAAATATAAAAGGCCTTTTCACACCAAAAGTGAAATGAGAACGAAATTGGCACAATTTCACCTGTAGTAAATCAGTCTTGTAACTACAAATGTACTATAGCCTTTGGAACATGAAAAAACCCTTTTGGTGAATTACAGTAATTTTTTTCTAAGATTAATTATATGCTGTATGTAAGAAAGATATTGGCAAAACCTCACCTGTAGTAAGTCAGTCTCATAATTAAAAATGTACTACAGCCTTTGGAACATGAAAAAACCCTTTTGGTGAATTACAGTAATTTTTTTCTAAGATTAATTATATGCTGTATGTAAGAAAGATATTGGCAAAACCTCACCTGTAGTAAGTCAGTCTCATAATTAAAAATGTACTACAGCCTTTGGAACATGAAAAAACCCTTTTGGTCAATTACAGTAATGGTTTTTGAAGATTAATTATGTACTGTATGTACAGTAAGGGTGATATTGGCCAACTTTCACCTGTAGTAAGTCAGTCTGGCCACTAGGAATGTACTACAGCCTTTGAAACATAAAAAAAACTTTTGGTGAATTACAGTAATTTTTTTAAAGATTAATTATGTACTTTATGTACAGTAAGGAAGATATTGACAAAACTTCACATGTAGTAAGCCAGTCTTGTAACTACAAACGTACTATAGCCTTTGGAACATAAAAATCCCTTTTGGGGAATTTCAGTAAATTTTTCCTAAGATTAATTATGTACTGTATATACAGTAAGGAAGATACTTGCAAAATTTCACCTGTAGTAAGTCAGTCTGGCCACTACTGATGTACTACAACATTTGCAACATAAAAAAACCCTTTTGGTGAATTATAGTAATTTTTAAAAGAAAATAGTTGTGTACTGTAATCAACAATTTCACGTGTAATAAGTCAGTTTGGTCACTATGAATGTACTACAACCATTGGAACATAAAAAACACATTTTGGGCAATTACAGTAATTGTTTTCTAAGAATAATGATGTACTGTATGTACAGTAAGGGTGATATTGGCAAAATTTCAGCTGCAGTAAGTCAACCTGGCCACTAGTGATGTACTACAACATTGGGAACATTAAAAAAACCTTTTAGTGAATTTCAGTATTTTTTTTCAGAAGAATAATTATGTACTGTATGTACAGTAAGGGAGATATTGGAACAATTTCACCTGTTGTAAGTCAGACTTGTAACTACAAACTTACTACAGCCTTTGGAACATGAAAAAAAACATTTTGGTGAATTACAGTAATTTTTTTCTAAGATTAATTATGTACTGTATGTACAGTAAGGGAGATATTGGCACAATTTCACTAGTAGTAAGTCAGTCTGGTCACTAGGAATGTACAACAACCATTGGAACATAAAACACCCTTTTGGGCAATTACAATAATTGTTTTCTAAGAATAATTATGTACTGTATGTTCATTAAGGGTGATATTGGCAAAATGTCAACTGCAGTAAGTCAACCTGGCCACTAGTGATGTACTTCAACATTGGGAACATAAAAAAACCCTTTTAGTTAATTTCAGTATTTTTTTATGAAGAATAATTTTGCACTGTATGTACAGTAAGGGAGATATTGGAAAAATTTCACCTGTAGTAAGTCAGACTTGTAACTACGAACGTACTACAGCCTTTGGAACATGAAAAAAGCATTTTGGTGAATTACAGTAATTGTTTTCTAAGAATAATTATGTACTGTATGTGCAGTTAGGGAGATATTGGCAAAATTTCACCTGTAGTAAGTCGGTCTCAGTAACTACAAATGTACTACAACCTTTCGAACATTGAAAAAAAACTTTGGTGAATTAAAGTAATTTTTTAAAGAAAATAGTTGTGTACTGTACATACAGTAAGGGAGATATTGTCTATGGCGACATATTGGTTAAATATTTTCTTTCAGTTTGCCCACAAGGCATTTACTATGGCGTTGTAAACATAATTTGTATTAATTATTGGACTTCGTTTTGTACTGAGAGGTAAATTTGCAGACGGTCCCTAAAGCAGCCTAGGCGAATATCCAGCGGATTTCAAACCTAAAACTAATTTTACCGCGCTAACAAAGCAACATGTGGAAATGGAATTATGATAATCTGATATGAACGCTTCCGCTAAAATAAATATAGTCCATTAGTTACAGTACAAAACAATCGGCATGTGTTGTGGAACAAACAATGGTCTTCTCAAAGTCATAAAATAAAACTCAAGAAACAGAGTTCCAGATGCCAAAATAAGACTTTAGAACACAGCAACAAAGCCGAGATGACAGCCGCTGCATCTTTGTCTGTCCGGGCAGCCATACACCTTGTTCTTATCAGTCTTTTTAACCAAAAATTGACAACTCGGCCTCTGATTGGTCTTGCCCCATTAGTTTTGCTACAATGAATTCCTTCTCATTTTGGTTTACTTTCTAATTGTAGATTCCTTCTAGTTTGAACCATTTTCCATTTCAGCCTTGGTCTCATCCTCTTTCCCTAAATGCAGGTGTCCTCATTGCCATTCATCATACTTGTTTGTGCCATCCTTGACATATTCTTGGAAGTCACCCAAAGTTCAATAGTTCACTCTAGTTCATTGGCGCTGCCCAATGGAAAACACCATACTTGCCCAGTAGGGGGCTCCTAACACTCACAGCCTATATTAAGACTTCTAATATTGAAATAATCATTAAAACAATCACAATATTGATTGTAATTATTACCATACATAATATTTTTGAGTAAAATTTCACAACACACAGCAACTAGACGAACACTGCAACAACATATTAATAATGAATTCCTCTGAAGGACATTTTCACTACAATCGAGAAGTGAGACGCAGATGCGTCTGATGTTGAAAAGGCATCAAATTGACATAAAAATTTACATCAAAAAATAGGTAAAATATGCTAATCAAATTGGCCTACATATATCTACATTAAACCAATTTCAGTGTGGGATTACCTTCCTATTTTTACCCAATTTCCACTGGAAGAAACTGCCATCCAAACTGAATTGAAAATGATGTTACAGCATCTTGATCAAGTCTTGACTAATATTTGATGTCAAATTGATATTAAAGGGGTCATATGATGCGATTTAAATTTTTCCTTTCTCTTCGAAGCGATACAAGCTCTTGGTGCATAAAGAAGATCTGTAAAGTTGCAAAGACTAAAGTCTCAAATCCAAAGAGATATTCTTTATAAAAGTTAAGAGTCAACCACGCTCGTTCGTTAAAATGGCTCGTTCGAACATGCCCCCATATATCTACCTCACTATGTGAGAAGATTTGCATAACGCCGCCCAAATGTTCACGCAAAGAAAGAAGGCGTAACTTTGATTCTCGCTGTAGTATTGTTGTTGCCGTGTGTTTCGTTGTGAAAGTGAAACTACTTTGTTTGGTCTTCCAAAAGAGGACGATATCCGCTTTGTCATGCCTGGAGCTGATCCGTGCTGGTCGCTGAGGAAATACATCAACTTTGCGCTGTGGATCGCTGCATCGACTTTCACCGTGGATGAAGCGGAGTCCAGCCCGGGGTCGTCACATGTGGTTACCGCAAGCCCACTGGCCGCTCCTTCGTCGAATCCGCGAGATGGTCCTCATTGCAGAACACAAGATCCAGGGGGCGAGGTTAGATCCAGATCCAACTCCTCCCATCTTACATATACCTAAACCTACCCGTCTCCACCCCCTGATCCCTAAACCCACCCATCTCCACCCCCTAGATGTGGATCCAACCACGCCCCCTGGATCTTTGTTCTGCAGTGAGGGGCTACTGGAATCCGCTGGCCGCGCTCACTCTAGTCTCCAGCCGCCACTCACTCTAGCCCGCAGGCCTCCGCTCACTCAAGGACACCGTGTGTGACGCTGTGTTTCGTTGTGAAAGCGAAACTACTTTGTTTGGCCTTCCAAAAGAGGACACGACTAGAAATCAGTGGTTATGTATTTACAACACTGTTCCAGAACAATTCAACCCAAATATCCAGATGTGTGCAGCACATTTTATGGAGGACTGTTTCCTGATCCTGGGAGAGTAGACTAAAATGCAGGCTGCTCTGACTCACAAACTGTAAGTACGTTTTTTATATATAAAGAATTTGCCACTGACAATTCAAACGCGAGTTTTGAGCAATGTAGAGTAGCGCTTATAACCCATAATTATGTCCCGACTGGATGCAACAAATGCCTCGTTTATAATGGGTTTTAATGTTTTTGTCTTGTTGCTCCGGCCGGGACACGCCATCACAATATGTTAGGGACGTAACATTTCCGTCACACGCTTGAGGAATTCAGCCAATCACAACGCACTGGATAGCTGGCCAATCAGAGCACACCTCGCTTTTCAGACCGATGAGCTTTGTAAAAATTGGCGCGTTTCAGAAAGGCGGAGCATAGAGGAGAAACAATAATGTACAGTATTTGGAAAATAATGTGTTTTTTAACCTTAAACCGCATAAACACATTTCACCAAATACACAAAATAATGTTATTTTTAGCAACATCATATGACCCCTTTAAACAATTAGTATTCTCAATTCCCAAACAATGAAACATTGTAATTAAAAGGAAAGTTGATGTGACAGTGTTAAAAGTGCCTCTGTCCCAACTTTTGTGGAGTGTGTTGCAGCCATCAAAATCTATTTTTTTCATATTTACAAAATACATTTACTTTGTTCAGGGAGTAATGTTTTCTTTGTACTTTTGTCAATTAAATAAAAGTTATAGAGAATTAACAAATCACAGATTCTTGATTTTATTGCATTTTTACAAAACGTCCCAACTTCTGTGGAATTGGGGTTGTACATCACATTACCTGTCTTTGTCCCGTTTTTCTTCTCTCTCTCTTTTTTCTTTTTCTTTCTTGTGCACCAGGGGCTTCGGTCATTTTGACATAGTGATAATTTATTAGTGAACATCTATCACAATCAGCTAACTGATGTAGTCTATGTGAAAGCAGAGGTGTAAATTATTGGAGTAAATGTACTTAGTTACTGTACTTGAGTATCTTTTCGAGTACTTTGTAGTTGTACTGAGTATCAAAGATATTAGCAACTTTTACGGTATCTGTACTTTTACTCAAGTATGGTTTTTAGGTACTCTTTACGCCTCTGTGTGAAAGTGCGGCTATGTGGGGTAGATTGATCATGAGACGGGAGAGCAATAAAATAGGCCTACTTATGTTTTGTGGGATGATCGCTTTTTTTGTACTATTTTAAATTCATAGTATTGAAATAGTACTGATAATAAAAAATAAATAGTTTTAAAAAATTCACTCATTTTGGCGCCCCTAGCATTTTCATATTCCGCCTATGCCACGGGCCGGTGTCATGCCGAATTCTGCACCCCTGCCAGATTATGCATCCCCTAGTATTGGTAGGTTTAGGAGTAGATGAGGGGATGCATAATCTGGCAGGGGTGCAGAATTCGGCACAACACCGGCCCTGTTAGGATGTAAAACCATTTGGCATGGTCCTGTCAATCAAATCAGCTCTCAATGGGTCACAGATCTGTTATGAGGGTCTCTGAGGGGGTTAAAAGCAAAAATAAAAAGCAACCATAGTTGTGCACAGTTAGGATTACTCAGTGTCTAAGCAGAAAACACTTCCAATTTCTTTTGAAGTTGATGTTAAAGTTGTGTGTGAAACTCTACAATATTATTATTTAAAATAATATTACAGTAATATTAATACTGAATTTCTTTGAGGTCAGTTTCACTACAGTCGATAAGTTAGATATACAGTTGCACTAAAACCACAAGATAGGACCCAAAAACACTTGGACTATCATTATTGTCACGAATTCAGTCCATGGACTTCCGTTTATTCACCATCAGAGGTCACCCTTTCCATTACATTGACTCTCGCACTACACAAACTGTTGCATAGCACCCTGGACTACATTTCCCATCATTCTTTGCACGATTTGCACACTGCACTGATTGCACACAGCTGTTTCTAATCACCTCACTCACTATATAACACCCACTCTAACCACCTTTCTCTGCTGAGTATTGTTTAGCCTGTACCCCTTTCTGAGTCTCCGTGTTTTCCTTGTTTTGCCTTGCCTGTTTTTGCGGTTTCTGATCTTTGCCTGTTTTCTTGGATTTCTCCCTCTCGTCTCGCCCCTGTGATTCTGTCTGCTGATCGGTGACCTACGCTAGCCCTGGGACTATTCTTGTGTTTTGCCCGCTATATACCTGTTTGCCAGTGTTTTGACCCTGCCTGTTTACCACGTCTCTTAAATAAAGCCTGCAGATGGATCCACATGTCTCACGTCTTGTCAGCCCCATTACAATTATAAAGTGGATCAACCAAAACAAAACTTTTTGCCTAAAATCATATTTTATTTGTGAAGTAATTTTTTGAATCACATTCTTTAATGCTATAATGTGAGGATAAAGCAGCAAACTACCATTTACACCACAACAACAGCGAATAAATTAATGGACAGATGTCAAATAATGCAAACATATTGTAATTATCAACAAAGAAGTCCAGTAAGCTAAATATTTCAATAAACAACATTGTTATTCTTTCGTAAAACTGTGTTTTGTTTATTCTAAAAAGTTGCTTGCTGACTGTATAAAAGTCATAATTATGGCAGAAAAAGACGAAAAAACAAAACTTTTTGCCTAAAATCATATTTTATTTGTGAAGTAATTTTTTGAATCACATTCTTTAATGCTATAATGTGAGGATAAAGCAGCAAACTACCATTTACGCCACAACAACAGCGAATAAATTAATGGACAGATGTCAAATAATGCAAACATATTGTAATTATCAACAAAGAAGTCCAGTAAGCTAAATATTTCAATAAACAACATTGTTATTCTTTCGTAAAACTGTGTTTTGTTTATTCTAAAAAGTTGCTTGCTGACTGTATAAAAGTCATAATTATGGCAGAAAAAGACGAAATTAGTCATAATAAAAAGTACCACTGTCTGCTTTCTGCGCATGCTCTGTGAAAGAGCATGATTGCTGCGCGAAAGGTCATTATTGCGCTTAATTTACATCCAAATTATAACAACTTTTTACTTCCCCAAACAATCAGTAACAGCATTCAATGAATTATAATCTAGCAAATAGCCTCAAAATGTTTTGTTCCTATAGGCCTATTTCAACCTTTTATTTATCTGAAGAGTTTTACAGAAGTCAGAAGTGGTTGGTTTCACACTTTGCTTATTTACATATATACATTTACTCAAAATAATAAGTAAAAAAATCTGAAATCTTCCAACTCATACTGAAACGAGCTGAGAGGGTTGGTTTCCGTAATCTTTTAAGGACTGCTGATATTTTCTTAATTCAGGAGCGTCTGATCGCACACAGCTTATGTGGGGACGGATTCAAAGTTATTCCTACTACTCTTTTGAGATCCAGATCATCTCCAGACTCTCCTGGTGGAGTTGTGAAGCGGTAGCTCTGAAGAAGGGAGGTGAAGAACAGGAAAAGCTCCATCCTGGCCAAACCCTCTCCAAGACAAACCCTGCATCCTGTAAATGAGAGAGAGAGGCAGTTGAATGGTATGTTGGGTTAAAATAGAACGGTAGAAAGACAGTAATATGCAGTGATGCAAACTACTCGACTTCTACAGTGGGTACGGAAAGTATTCAGACCCCTTTAAATTTTTCACTCTTTGTTATATTGCAGCCATTTGCTCAAATCATTTAAGTTAATTTTTTTTCCTCATTAATGTACACACAGCACCCCATATTGACAGAAAAACACAGAATTGTTGACATTTTTGCAGATTTATTAAAAATACCATATGAATCGAAAATATAGTCTTTTAATCTTTGAATTAAATGTAATGATTCCAATGATTTATGTAATTCATAAGTAAATGTGACAAGAAATATTAACACTCATTTTCGACATATTTAGCATAGGCTATGATTAAAGATGCGGTCACATTAGCAAAATGTTATGGGCAAAAAAAGGTAATATAGGCGTGTTCCAATTTGTGTACTTATTCTATGGCATTTTGTAGTATAAATAGTGCGAGCATTGTGTTCACATTGAAAATTCCAAAAAGAAAAGTGCACTTTAAATGCCAGGATGGTGCACTTAAATAAACGAAAAATGAAGTGTGAAATGTTGGAAACTGTCGCAGCTTTAATTACGAAACGGAGGAGGAGGGGCTATCAGACTCCAATTATGAATGACAAAATAACTGCATATAACTGATACACTACACGGTTTGAGTACATAATGTGTAAGTACAGCATATAAGTACATACAGTGCGTCATTTGGGACAGCCATTTTCAGTAATGTAGCAATGTGTGAAGAATTGCTTACACAGAAATCACTTTAAAACCCAGCAGCTTTCTGGTCAGCATGGCAAATTTGTGTGAACTTGAATGTGAGTGAAATCTGCATGGAGAATTTATGCATGTGGATACCTATTAAAATTAATGGATTTCACCTGCAAAAGTTTGCAGAGCTGGAATACACTTTTGGCCAGATCTGCAGTCTGAAGAAGCCAATGCTAGTTGCTGAAAGTCAGAGCCAGTTTGCAGATTTTGGACAGTTGGTTATGTATTTGGACAGCTCGTTGGTAATGTATGATGGGCACAGACACTTTTTACTTTAGCTTTTATATCTTATGCTAAAGATTCACTGTACCAGCAGAAAAGGGCATGAAAGCATCTCTCTTGATGAAGTGGCCCTTCTTATGAAGGAAGTGTTCTGGGTAAAAGCTGTTTGGTTTTTCCCATTCACTTGGATCCTTCAAAACAGACATCAGCAGAGGAACTACAGTGGTGCCCTAGAAAATGGAGAAAAGACCAAAACCTTGATGTTCAAGATGCACATGGTATCTTCACTAGGCCTTATACATATTAATTCTTCTGACTGACCTTCTTGATGAAGTATCCATTGAAGGTAACATCGCAGCTGGTTATATGTGGTAGACTCAAGGGTACTATGTTGGCAAGTCTCTGAGTTTCGTGGATCACAGCATCTGTGTATGGTAATTTCTTTCTGTCTTCCACCACTGGCTGACGTCCACCGATCACTCTGTCAATCTCCTCCTGAACTCGATCAAGCTCTGTGGATTGACTTCCCACAACTCTAACAGAGAACAGACTTTCAGAGATTCCTTACAGACCTCTTAATCTGAGGTCTTCATACATTCACAGAATGGCACAGAAACTGCCTTTCCATGCACCTAAATGACACTAAAAGGACTTGTGAGCAACTAATCATTTCTATGCATAACTCCATATTATGTATCTAACCCACACATTAGACTATCACGTTTTAATCATTTATTGTGTATGTATTTTGAATAACTATTGAATAGTTTATAGGATTATATTCATGTTGGGTATGTATGTGTTTGAATCTTCTTTGTATGTTTCATCCTCCATTGCTCGATTTCCATACCCTTTTATATTTCTAAACCAAAGGGTAGAGCACAGTACCAACTACAGTATGGATGCTCTCATGGCTCTCATTGTTTTTATTCAAATATCAAAATACTCTGGATTCCAGAATTCTAATGTTGTTAGAACACGTGGAGACGTGCTGAAATGGCGTTTGGTCTCGTACTGTATCGCGTACCTTGCAGTTGTCGTGTGCTTTGCTTGGCCATTTGTTGGGATAAACAGGAAAGTGTGTTCAAGCGCCAGCAAAACAGTGTAAAGAAATAGTCTTTGTGAGAAGCAGTCAATCAGCAGAAGTTAAAAGCAGCTTGTAAGTGTATTTATTTCTTGTCTCAGTGTTTAGCGCAGTTGTCGTTGCTAGGAAACGCTTGTTTTGTTTACTGTGGAGACGTGCTGAAATGGCGTTTGGTCTCGTACTGTATCGTACCTTTTCAGTTGTCGTGTGCTTTGCTTGGCCATTTGTTGGGATAAACAGGAAAGTGTGTTCAAGCTGAATTCAATTTGAGTTTTGTTAAACGAATTAAAAAGAAGCTTAGTTTACCGCGGAAGCGGTCGCGGCTTATATATATATATATAGTATTTATAGAGTTTTAGCTTTTAGTTTTAATTACTTTTTCTTATTTGTAAGTCGCTTTGGATAAAAGCGTCTGCTAAATGATTAAAAGTAAAAGTAATATCCATTGCAGAGTTGATGTTATACGGCTCGTTCAATGAATCGCTGACTGTCTCAGTGATCAGCCGTAAAACAGTGATTCTGTCCAAATTCCCTTTAAAATCTTAAATGATTCCCTTTGAGCTAAATTGACCTGTTTCCCTTACACAAACATCCTTTGGACACCATTGAATTCAAAAATTAGGAAAAACTCTTGACATTACTGTGTTTTCACCCTGTATATGAGGGTATTTGGCCATAAGCATCAGACCCCAGCGCAGAGTCGTTCCTGTGGTGTCAGTACCAGCATCAAAGAGATTTGTCACCGACATCATAAGGTTCTTCTCATGAAAATATGAGTCCTTCTTGTCGGATTTCTGTCAAATGAAATCCACAAGATGAATATCTCTTCCCTTTACCAACATAATAAGATTTCAAACGCTTTCAAAATGACAAGTGCTTGATTGAATAAACTAAAAAAATAAAAAATTAAGTTTGACCTATTTGGATCTTGTGCAAACTACTAATTTTCATCTGCCCCCTGAATATTTCGATTATTACAGTAAAGGGGATCATTTAAAAATTACATACCTCGTCATGCTGTTTGCGGATGAGAAACGAGTCAACAAATCCTCTGCGGTCATGTGGATTCAGAGTTTCCAGAAGCGCATTGATCAACTTCGTCATCTGTTGTCTACTTTGGATAATATTGTCTACAATAATCCTTTTGTTTTTCAGGAATGGACCCAACCATGGAAATGTGTTGTAAAGCTAGAAATGGACACAAGAGAAACTGATGTTGTCCAGAAATGCACTTTCAGAATGGGTGTTTTGTACATAAATAATAGTAGTATCTGTCGACAAAATTGGTTAACATATTTATTACACTCACCCACATAGAAATTGATCCACCAACCCGAATATTTTCGTTTGCTCTGTCGACCATTTCAGTGAATTGAGGGTCTGTGTATTCAAATCTGCTGCCGTACACGATAGATGAGATGATGTTTGACACAGCGTAGTTCACAGGCTGTGTCGTGTCGAAGGGTTTCTCTGTGAAGAGGAAACAACAAACCATCTCTCAATGGATCTTATGAACTAAGAGCATGATTGCATGTGTGTGTCTCAGCTTGTACCTTCAAACTTATCAAACTCTCCTTTCAGATACTGAATTTCCTCTATGATTTTCTCTTCACTTCCTCTCTTGCCCATCCCAAAGTCCCGCAGGTTACTGAGAGCGAAGCGTCGCATCTCTTTCCAGTTCTCTCCATTGGAAAACAGGATCCCTGATCAACACAAAACCATCAGACTATAAGTCCAAGACCACAAGCAACTCTAGCAAAGAATGATTATGCAATGAGTAGATTAACCTTGGACCTTTGGGACATATACAGTGTCAGATTGTCTAAAAGCATTGTATGGCAGGTTAATAAATAATTAATCAATTCGCAAATCAATTTATATGCTACTTTAAATATGTAAAAAATAATTACAGCAGCTATTGCTGGGAACCAATATATACTCATTGACTTAAGACAGCATGCATTTTTAAGCAAACAGTCCCATAATCAAATGCATTTTAGGTTTTTGCTAAAGTGGCTGTTTTCCACCAAATTGTGTATTCATCCTTATAATGAGCTCAATGAAAATCTCATTTTTTTCAGTAGTCATACACATTAGAGTATATTTCATTGACCTGGAAAGGCCACGAAGATCTGAAAGCTTGTGCAACATGTTTGTTTTGCTAAATTTCTAGCATTTACAATTTGCACATTCAGGCAGAAAAAATAAGAATCCTACCATGCTCGTCATTCATTATCCTGAAACCAGGTCCAATATCTCTGTCGCCGAACTCTTCTGCATGGTTCACAAGAGCTTCTTTGACAGTTTTGTATCCAACTAGGACTACAGTTTTTCTGGGACCCAAAAACACTTTGAATATGTTCCCGTAGGTTTTAGCACAGCTGGAGAACACAGAGAAAGACATTTACAAACAAATCTCAAAATATTAGGGTACTATTATTTTTAAATGTACCTCAAAAAAGGTGTCAAAGGGTCTCGTGAGGTCAAGGGTCAGCAGGTTCCCCAGCAGCGGCAGTGGTTTGGGTCCCGGTGGCTCTTTCCCTTCTTTCTGAGATTTAGATCCAGAGGAAAGCAAATACAAAACCAGAAGCAACAGCAAAGCTCCCAGTAATGTACCTGTGCTGGGAAACTGATAAGATACCATTCATCACCACCACCAAAAAACAGTGTTACCTTAAAACATATTTTATTTGTAAGGTAAAACTTGAGTTTTCAAAAAAGAAAGACCTCCATTATGTGAGGAGCTAACTACAATTTACACCACAACAATAGTGAATGAATTTATAGACAGATGTCAAATAAAGCAAACATGTTATCAGCAGAGAAGTCCAGTATGCCAATTTTTTTAAGTAAAATAATTTGTTACTCTTAGGCCAAACCCACTAACTGATGTACTCGTATATTTATAGCTGCTGTATAAGGAAGGGACTTTATGTGGTCCTAAACAAATAAAAAAAGTCCATCAGAGGAAAGGGTTGGCGTGATTACATCAGCATGTATGTGACTCCCTTTAGTGAATTATTAATCTTCGTCAGCCTATTAATCTGAGACAGGAACATTATTCAAGCAATAAAGCAACAGAAGTAAGTCAAATTTAACACAATCTTAAGACCAATATTATTACACTTAATTAGGCTAATTATTATTTTTTGCACATGAGAAAACAATAAGGATGCCCCATAAATGTATCACAGTAGTCCATATAGGCTACAGTATGTCTGCGATTCTCCAGACCATTTGAAGCCAAACAGTAGGAAAACAACAGTCACAAATAACATTAAATAATATGACATTGTATGCTTAATGAAACACTGTTTTAAATATTTTGATATACATATTTACATTTCAATTTTATGTTTAGCGTTGTATAACTTAATGTCAGTTAACATGAAGTGATTCCATTCCATTATCTGCTAAATATCTATTCACCTTGCCCATGAGACACAAAGTTCATGAGTGCATTTCTCACCACTGTCACAACCTTGAGTGACTTCAGACCTGCTTTCACAGACCTGATTAGGCAATATTTTAGGTTGTAAAAGCATGTGTCATGTACACTAACTGGCCATGTCAATCAAATCAGCTCTCAAAAATGGGTCACAGATCTGTTATGAGTGTCTCTGATGGTGTTAAAAGCAAAAATAACATGTAACTGATCATATAATTGTTCACAATTAGGATAACTCAATGTCTAAGCACAAAGCACTCACAATATCTTTTGAAGTTGATGTAAGGCTTGTGTGTGCAATCAAACTTTACAGTATTTTGTGTAAGTGTATGTCACTTAATAAGAGTCAAAATAGACATGTCACAATAAGATACCATTCATCACCACCACCAAAAAACAGTGTTACCTTAAAACATATTTTATTTGTAAGGTAAAACTTGAGTTTTCAAAAAAGAAAGACCTCCATTATGTGAGGAGCTAACTACAATTTACACCACAACAATAGTGAATGAATTTATAGACAGATGTCAAATAAAGCAAACATGTTATCAGCAGAGAAGTCCAGTATGCCAATTTTTTTAAGTAAAATAATTTGTTACTCTTAGGCCAAACCCACTGGAAGGCAAGCCTGCCAAAAAAAAAAGCGTAACTGCTAATGCTAATGCTAATGCTGCGGCTTTGGCGGTATGCAGAGAAGGAGACCAGACATAGATATGTACAGTATATGTAGATGCCACATCGACTGCTCCAGAAATGTCGACGCATCCGCCATCTTGGAACAAGCCTATATGTCGTCACTCGCAATAAAAATCTATGAGTTTTAAGATGCAACAACATTGCTCAGCATCTGGTTGTACAAAACGTCTACATTTAAATTCATAAAGAAACTTGATAAACTTTTACAGGTAAGAATGTGGTTTGTGATTTTAATATGTATTAACTCAATATTACAGGTTTTTATCCTGAAGTACCTTTTAAATGCCTTAGGTAATGGCTTCGTCTTGTTGTTGTGGTAGTTTAGCAAAAGCATCTTCTGAAGTCTACTGAAAATATTCATACATGCATATAACTACAGTTGCAGTACAGATGCACCGGCAACTTGAGTGTTCACAGACCGGCTTTGACATTCCAATATGGTGGACGCCGGCCCATAGAAACAGCAGCTAATATGGCATCTAGCTATACTATGAGACCAGAGGCCATTGTATGATTGGCTGATCACATGATCCAAGTTAGACGTTATACTTTTTTCCCATGGTAATAAAGTACTACAGACCCTCGCATCTCCCAATAATAAGGCAATCTCTGCTTAGGCTAATTGTCTTTTGTAAAGCTATATTTTAAGAAAAAAAACAACAACAATATTTCAGTCGAAAGACTGGCACTTCGTTAACTGGTCCTCTGTCATAAATCACGTATGAAGGACTGATGGTAGATTTGAACTTTTATCTCAACACAATTTTTGGTGTATCAATGTTAAATGTAAGGAATCACATTTCCACTACATAAGAAAAAAATGCTTTAAAATGTCAAAATTATGGAAAAATTTGATGCCGCCGTATGCTTTCTGCCCATGCTCTGTGAAAGAGCGCTCGCACTTCTATCCGAACAATCAGTAACAACATTCTTCATTGATTATAATTTAGCCTCAAAATGTTTCATTTCTATTCAAGCTCTTATCTTTTAAGTTTTATAAACGTGGCTTTACACACATCGTTCATTATTATTTACATATATATTCACTCAGAAGAATAGGTACCGTAAAACAAGTGTAAAAATCATCCAAAATCATACAAGGTGAGTTTTGTTTCTGTGATTTCTGTTCATATTTTCTTCATTCAGGAGCGTCTGATCGCACACAGTTTGTGTGGCGATGGATTTAAAGTTATTCCGACAACTCCTTTGAGATCCAGATCATCTCCAGACACTCCTGGTGGAGTTGTGAAGCGGTAGCTCTGAAGAAGGGAGGTGAAGAACAAGAAGAGCTCCATCCTGGCCAGACTCTCTCCAAGACAAACCCTGCGTCCTGAGAGAGAGAGAGAGAGAGAGAGAGAGAGAGAGAGAGAGA